CTTGGCCAAATAAAGGTGATTGTGATTATCCTTAACATTTTCAGTAGAAACACACTGAAAGGTAAAGACAAAAAAAACTGTTAATTTTTAATTAAGTACTTTTTTTCCAACTGTGTATTTCTTTATTTTAAACTAATTTTATCAATGTATTTAAATGCAAAATGTTGTAGAATACATGGATAACACTAACTATACAATATCAGGGGTTTTCTGTGACGTATTCAATAAGTTATATCTTATATTCATATTAAAATTATAGCCAATTAGTTGATTCATTTACTGGTCAAAAATAATTGGAAACTTTTTATAGTTTAATAGGTTTCAGTCATTTTTCAAACAAAATAGTGTAAAAATGCCAACACATTTGCAAATGAGAAATGTTTTTCTTTGTCAGATATCACTGTAAACTGAATATTTGGGGGTTGACGTAAACATTCAGTAAAACTATTCAGCTGTTTTTTGATGTTTCATATAGTATAAAAATAATCCTCAGGTTAAGTGATAATAAAACACATTATTTGCATTTTCTTTTCAAATTATGTTACATATTGCTTATGTAGTAGTCTTAAACTTAAAATCAGGTAGTCCACACAATTTATTTTATTAACAATTGAAATCCAGTTGAGTATGGCTGGGAGGTTTACCTGCAGCCACTTCTGTGTCATACCTTTGTTCCTAGCAGCCAAAATTATTTTAAAGAGATATTCATACTGTGTCATAATCTAGGATTGTGCCTTACTATAATGCAACAATAGAACAGTCACCTTCTGAAACAAATAGTTTAATCATCTCATTGGTCCAGACAGTTCCAGTAGTAGTAGTTAATATTGTGGTTTAAAATGTTCTTCTGCCTTCGTACAGTGCTGACATTGCATTTATCCTCTCTGTACAGGTCCTCTGTGTGGAGCCTCAGTAATTTTCCATCATGCAGCTGGAGTCTCAGCTGCGACTATGTCAGAACTGTCTCTGGTGCTGCAAGGGTGCACTGCGGTGGCTCTCCCTGAGCTACACACAAAGGTAGGATTTTTGTGTGTGTGTGCTGAATTGAATCAGAATGACTGAAAACAGCCGAGTGATTCTTTATGTGTGCTTCTGTGTACACATCTGAATGTCTGTTTTTGAGTTATCTGCTTTCTCACCACAGAACAGCTGTGAACTACTATGATCTCCTGGGAGTCAAATCTGATGCCAGCATGGAGGAAATTAAAAATGCTTTTCTTCATAAATCTAAGAAGGTAAAGTCCTCCTTTGTTAACACACTGTGCATTTAAATAAAAGTGTCTGGCCACAGGAGGGCAGCCTTGCAAAGCCTACTTTTTACTTGTTAACTTTTCCCACAGTGGGCTTCCTGACTCTGAGTATTGTGGTTTCTAGTGTAAATAAGGATGGACATGTGTACTTACCCTGCGGTTTTAACATAATTGAGAGGTGAAACAAGTTGCCAAAAAAACAAATAAGCATGATAAGTGCAAACTGTGCATATGCCTGCGTTTGTTTAACAGAGAAGGTAAGAACATGTTTTGTTAAAGTATACACGTCCACATAAACACAAGAATATTTCTTGGTTCATTGGTTGGTTTGATGAGTGGACTTCATCATTACTGTGTGACCATCGTATGTAACTGCAGCTGCACCCTGACACTGACCCATCGAACCCAGCACTGCACAGCCAGTTTGTGGAGCTGAGCGAGGCCTACCGAGTTCTGAGCAAAGACCTGAGCAGGAAAGAGTACGACTTCAAAATCAGACACCCATACAGTGGGAGCCAGCCCTTCGGATCTACTTTCAGTCACACCAGCTACAGAACCAGGTGAGGATGCGCACAATCTGTCAGAGTTATTGTACTTTTCTCCTCCATACCCCAAACTGTTTGGGCAGAAGAAAATTGAACTGATGTTTTTCTGCAGAAATTAATGCAGGAGAAGATGTATGATTAATTTGAATACTGTGCATGTGGCTTGGTTTTGCTTGCTATAGCACACTCACAGTTCTTCATGCTCTTGGGAAGACAGCAAATCTGAAACCTCCACCTCTGCAGTGATCCTGAAGGAAAGAGTCACCTCTGTACCTTCCCACAGAAGAAAAACAAAGCTGTTCATTAACTTACCACAAATTTTGGATTTCATCACTGGGAGTGCTGAATAGTTTCACCTTTCAGATTTTGTTCAACTCTATGTACTCTGCCCTTTGTTGTGGCCCCGTGCAACATATCGCTTTGACATGTACCATCAAAACAGTTTTCTAACAACCAGGTGGACGAATCGGAAAATGGTTTTTATACATAATGCAGTGGAAATTTGTCTTTGACATTTCACAACTAAAAACACACAGATCACATAAAATATATGCAAGTCCTCAATACATGAACCTGTTCCTCAAAATACATTGAGTCTTTAAGGCTTCCCACTAGCATTTCTAGGTGAAGTCTGGCTTTAAGTTTGGCACCGTCTGACCCTCCTCTGTTTTTAATGTCATCAATCCTGGCCTGTCTTCAACTACTTCACCACCAGTACAACTGCCCAGAACAACATGCGTTACTGGGAGCAGTTTCATCGTGCACAGAAGATGACGGCAAAGCAACAACAGCAGAAGAGGAAGGACAACCTCCGACTGGTGGGGTACTGCATCATTGCTGTGGCGCTCAGCATCACAAGCCATATGGTTCTCTTCAGGTAAAAACGCTGCACTGGTACTCAGTGTGTTTTGACCACTCGTTACACTTGTGTTTTCTTTGCTGGACAGTCACATTCAGATGATTGGGACTGTATGTGGATGTGTCTCTGTGCCATGTGTCTTGTGTCCTTGTGTTTGTTTTCACACACAGACTCTCTGCCACTTCCATTTGTGAAGATTTACGTTTTTGTGATCTGGAGAGCTGTTTAAACAGCTGTACAACCTCATAAATACAACTGAGCTTACAGCATGCCTGCTGTGCAGCCAGTTTTTAAGTAAAGTTATTCTGTCCATTGTGTTTTAACTTGTGTTTCTCCAACTCTTTCAGAAAACTGAAACAAGTTCACAATGATTATATGGATGAGAAAGACAGAATCATCACACAAATCTATAATGAATCCAAAGAGAGGGCAAGGTGATTACATTTTTTTTTTCTTCTTCTCTTTGAATGCCCACTGCGCTGCTCACAGTAAATTTGTTTCAGTTTTTAACTTGAATATGAAGCTGAGTCCTAAGATGTCTTCTGTGCTGTTTTCCAGAATCAACGGTTTTAAGAAACAAACAGAAATCCTCCGGCAGAAACATGCTGAGTTCCTGGAGAAATACAAAATTCCAAGTGGCGTGGACAAGTAGGAGTGTCTCCAGCTGTGCTCGGTGACGATAGAGTTCGAAGAGACAGCAGGAGGAAGGCAGCAGACTGAATGTGATACTTTTAGGAATTTAAAGTTGTTTTCTGACCTATTTAACATGTGAAAGTGCCTGCATTGGCCCTCAGATGTGATGCTGAGGAGCTGATGTGCTCTAGGTGTGATGTGGCAGGGTTTCAACAGGTTGCAGAGGTATTAATTTGTAACTAAGCTATGCTGTATATTAGTTTGGGGCTGTTTTTAAATGAACCGTTATACAGTAGTTGGTAGCATCTTTGCTTTGGTTGGACTGTAAGAAGTACAGATCTCAGAGCTTTTTCACTGTTTGTCTAAAGGAGCTTAATGAGTGCTGTCAGTCTTCCTCTAATGAACCCAGAGAAACATTTTTTTGTCATCTGCCTAATTGTGTTAGTGGTACACAACATGCAGGGCTCTCAGGTGACAGCGACTTAATAGCAGATGAGCTAACATGACGAGACAGTGCAATTTTTAGTGCTAAATGAACATAATATCTTGGGTTGCACACATAAGGTTCTCCTGGGATTTATGAGCTTCACTTTGTTGTAAATGGTCTTATATAGTGCTTTTCCACACATTGAAGTGCAGTCAAAGTGCTTTACACCATTTACCCACACAAGCACACACCTGTGATATCGCTCAGAGTGGTTCAGTGTTTGCTCAAGGACACTTCGACATGGACCGGAGAAGTCGGGGATCGAACCACCCTCCCTACCGCCTATCCGACAGCCACCCCTACTTTATTCAGGTGGACAGTTGTGAAGCGAGCAGTATAATGTGCAAAATGTTTTTAGATTAAGTGATGGAAACTATTGGGCCTATTTATGATTCCCAGCTGGGGACATCACTGTCCAACTCTTCTCCGGTTGCTGTAGAAATGCTCGCATGTACTGTACAACAACAGCCAACTCATAAAGTAATTTATTCATTTGAAAATCTAAATAATTGATATTATTGTGGTTCCTTCAAATATTTACTGTTTTTCCTCAGTTTTTAGATATTAGAGGTGTGTTGGACCACCTTGCCTGATTCCTTAAGGCAAGGCAGTGACAGATGATTAAAGATTCAGCCTTTTCTCATCATTACTTCTGTTGGTTCTGTTTGTTCTGGTTATATAGTACAGAACTACCTCCAGACACTGCATTTCAACAACTGAAAGTAAATTTGAGCAGCTCCTGACAACCTCGTGATCTGACATCTGGAGCTGCAGATGTGATTAACTGAAAATTGATTTAGCAGAACATGTTTATTTCTATACACTTGCATGAAAGCTCACTTTCATTTAAGACATTACATTTACTCTGCTGACACCATGGAAATGAGGCTTGGTTTCAAGAGCTTATTAAAGAATACTTGTACAAGTATAGATTGGATTTATGAAATCCCCGATTCACCATGTGAATTATGTTTTAGGGAAAGGTTTTGTTGCTATTTTTCTTCTCATTTGTCTTCTCACCAGCAGCCCTGGTCCCAAGCAGGAAATAACATGTCCTCCCTTAGCATACAGACACCCTCATACCCATGTGGCGTGAGTGCGCTGTCATAACACAAGCACACTATAATGACCGGGATTCTGGTGTGTCAGCTGGCCTTCACACACACACACAGATAGAAGACAAGGCTGCTACTACACAGGAAAAACCAGCTATGAAAAGGCTTTTAATTACTTTTATCTTCAGTTTAATGAGCTGCAAATGAAAAGTGTATCAAGTCATGCAATGAAATAACCCTCCGTGTGTCTGACATGCATACCCTGCTTTATTATGTAATAGTGGGAAAATATACAGTCAATAACAACTTTAGCCTCAGACCTTTACACTTTGTTTGATGTGATCCTATCCCAGAAAGGCTTTTGAGAAACTACTAACCTGACTGGAGGCAGTGAGTGTCATAATATAATGCAAATGCAGTTTCTCCCCACAGGGTTGTAGATCTGTGAGAGTTGCTGTATGTCTGTAACATGAGTCCCCTTAAAATGACAACAACCCACCTCCTGACATCAGATGGTTACATTTTTATAAATATTGGAAGTTTTCCTATTTTAATTTCTCTGTTAAAGTTACTCTACTTAATTTCTTTTCTATAAAAATGTTAGAAAATTTGGAAGTTTCCTTTTCACAGCTTCCAAAGTGATATCTTCACATTGCTTGTTTTGCCCAGTCAGCAGTTTACAAAACAAAACCCTGAGTTTACTATAAGATATAAGTAAACCCAGTGAATATTCTGGCACTTTGCCTTAACAAACGGCACAAGCAATTTATCTATTGATTTATGTCAACTAATTTAGTGATGTTAGTTCTAGAATCACTTTAAATTGTAGACTCAACTTACAGATGGGTGACCATTTAAAGGAAAAACTAGCACAAAGTGAACAGACCTTTTAGTGAAGTGTCTCCAGAACAGCTTTAGTGCCCTTTGTTCGAGGGAGGAAACATTCTTCCAAAACACATTCTGTTGCTGTATTCGACATATTCTTACACATTAAGCCATTCAATAATCACTGGTCAGTTCACTGATAGAAAATTAACTGACAACTGAAGCAAAAATCACCAACATTTTCTGGTTCCATCTTCAGTTTGAGGAGGGGATCCTTTTCTTTGTAAAACATGAGAATAAATTGAATATCTTTTGATTTATTGGTAAAAACATGAGAATAAATTGAATATCTTTTGATTTATTGGTTGGATTCAACAAGATATTTGAAGACACTGCCTTTGACTCTAGAAAGTCAAAATGGGCATTTTTCCAAATTTTTTGACATTATATGAATAAAAAGATAAATAATCGCCAGATTAATCAGTGACCCATGCTTTTGTTTTTATTTCTACTCATTTATTTGGGATTTTGCTTGAATGTGTCACCCTCGTATATATGTTGTGTGTTTTACTAGTTTTTAATTGTAGAATCAATCTACTGAAACTCTCAAATTTCCAGAAGTAACTACATGGACATGACCTCAGGGGCAGCTAAATCCCTGTCCCCCACATGCAAGGGGCCTCTGAAGCCCCACTGACCCCCATTGTGCGACCAGTATAGACGCTGCACCTGTACCCAGTGCGCCTGTCCCATTTGGAAAAATTTGGCAGTGCAATGGCTACGCTCCGTGCGTCTCAAGGGCAAAGGAAACGAGGAAACCGATCACTACAGCTCATGAAGGCTCCTGCCTTCGCAGCTCTCTGTCTGTCTACGGAATACCCTGCTGCTCTACCGCCTCTGCTGTAGTTGTGCTGCCGTGCTAGTGGAGGATGTTATTCTAGGTTTATTTATAAGAAGATAAAAAAAGGAAGATGCGCCTGGAGGGGACACGTCACATTTTCACGGGGAGCGACGGTGTGGAGAGATTGTGACCGAGCCAGGGAGAGGGATATGCAGCACTGTCCCTCTGCACGTCGGGCCAAAGCTTCGGATCCTACTGGATAAACGTCCTTTTTTCAGCCAAACAGATGATTTTCTAATCGCACCATGTTTCAGCGGGAGTCTGGATGATCCTCCAGTCACGCTACCCCCGGACCAGTTTCCTGGGATCAGGACCAATACACTGACGACACCCAGAAATAAATGTAATCACTAAATAAATGTAATCACTCAAAGTTTATATACCTGTCACCAGTCACCAAAATATCAAGATTTGAAGGCTGTGGTGCCACGGTGAGGCTCTATATTAAATAATGACTTGTTTTGATTGTCTATATAGGCTTTTGACAACAGCCTGCTCCAGTGTCTCACTAACAATATAAACTATTATTAGAGTTCACGTTGGGAGCTGATTCCTAAAATAATTCAGACACCCTTTTGGTGCCAAATGCAACAAAATAAAGTTTTTATTCTAACACTGACGATGCCACCCTGGGAGTCCTTTCAAAGGAGGGAGACTGGAGAATGAAAGCAGGACTTCTGCGCCTTTAATCGTACACAGAGCCGAAGGAAGGAGACAGCTGGACAAGCCACCTTCGTCTTTCTGTTTTTGATCCAAAAACATTTTTGCGCTCCCCTTTGACTCCTGCACAATGGGATTTATGGTTCAAGTTATTCTAGGAATGTAATCCCTGCTGCTCACCAGAATACCGACGTCTCATGCCAAGGTATGAACCTATATATAGACCATTTGACCTCAGAGGACTGCTGAAGTGGTCAGCCTGCCGTCAACCATGAGCTTGTGCGGCTTATTTCCACCTTATATTGACTGATTAATCAATTAGGCCCAACTCACTCTTGTGTTAATTAACGTGAGTTTGTTTTTATGGACATTATCCCCTAGGTCAATGACACTTGTCACTGTGAAAGGAAAAACACGATTATGGTCCTGCAGGTTGTTATGTTTTATCTGTGCTACTCAGTAATTACTTTATAGCCACATTGTGGCGTTTCTCCTGGCACTGTCTTAATTCTGTGCTCCTTTTATATAAGGCACCTTTCACAAACGAATTTTATGCTGTAGAAGCACCCCCC